CATCGAAAAGAATAAGTTCCTTCATTGACTTACCTTTATTTCTATTCTGTTGCATATGTTGTAAGTAATCAATCTACTTGTGTGCAAAACCAATTAACATAAATTTTAGATAATATTAAATGAGAAGTTGGACAAAGTGTTGTCATCAAATGACAGTAAGTAGATTCACTTAAAAGAAAAACAAACGAAGTTGACGTTGGATAATTAACATGCAAAGTACTTGTTAGGATATTCATTCAATATCCTAAGAGAATTATTGCTCAATTCCTATTGGTTAATTCCTACTGGTTAATTTTTTATGGTCGTCCTAGATATCAATGTTGTTTCTTATTGGTCGTCCTGACCATTAATGTCATTTCAAATGTTGGTTCCTATTGGTCATCTTAACTGTCAATGTCACATACTTCGATACTCTTTCCTGTTCGACCTAAATGTATAAATACCGATTATCTGTAAGGCTTTTCATCTCATTCCTTCATCTCCACTGTACTCGACCTCATAAACAACTTTATCTAACGGTGTTGTGTTCTGCTGATATATGGGAGATTTGGGAACAGTATTCGGGGTCGTACTGGAATATCTGAATTTGGTCAATCGGTAAGATTTCGAATAGCTACGTAGCAGCATTATAACAGTACTGCAGTCAAGAATAAATTATCAAGAATTTCTTACCAATAACATCTTTGTTCACTTTGAAATGCAAGGAAGATCCTTTGCAGATAAGTTCACTTGATTATAACAGACTTATAACAGAATTAGTTAGATTAATGCTTACTTTCATAAAAATATCTACAGTACACTAGTGAGATTAATCGTCTTAAATTTCTGAACATACTCTTGCAAAATTTTCGCTCCCAGCGATATTTAAGTTACGACTCACTTCCGTAATGTTATGTTTGATTGAAGGAAGCTTTAGAATACTAGTTTTAGCTCAAAGTTTGAGTTAATTACATTGAGTTGTCATGAAACAATATAGTCATCAGAAATTCTCTTAATAAGCTTTTGATTTGTTTGTTTTTAGTGTCGATCATAGGATAGTTTTACATAACTTTGTTATCGATATTTTTCTGCAGGAATTTTCTCACTAAAAGATGAGGTTAATTATTGGCGCAATAAGTCAAAATGCCATCCAAATTGTAATGAAGATGAGATGAAACGATGCGAGCATTTTGCATCCCTCTTGGAAGTTCCAGCCGAAGAATGCAGTCGTATTGAATCTTCATCTCGGTCAGTGTTGGATTCAACGATTGATTCATTAAGGATATCATCTACTCATTGTACTAATGCCACACAAAAACAGCCTACACTTGAAGTTTTTCTAACAGATTTGGTTGATATTATAGACTCACTTTTAACAGACACATTGGATGATTTATGGAAATGTACAGATTCACGTGCAACAGAACCTTATCCAGAGCAAAGGATGCGACAACTTATTGAATGTTTAAGTTATTGGACAATACGTGTGATTCAAGGCTTTCTGGGAAGTGTTCAAACAGTGTCAGAGAAAACTGAAATAGCCATTTCAAGTTTATGGATATTGCCTTTTGACGAGGTGAGTGTGAAGTACGATTGAACTAATCAAATTTCAATAATACTAAGAATCTTTTGATCACACAGACAGAGTGGGTGACTAGCTTAGCTCCCTAATGTAGGGTTTCAGCTGCAGAACTTGGTAAAATTAAACTCTAAAATATGCGAAGAGTTGAATAAATAACTCTAAGAGATTTTCGCTCAAAATTACCAGATATCTAATTAAACCATGACTCGAAACTTGACTCTGTGTGGATTAAATTACGGGTAAAGCTTACCACTCAGATTTTAATTTCAGATATAAATATAGGTTACTATGTCTTCTCTTACATACATTATGTTTGGAGGAACCTTTTATAAGCTGGAGTATTCCGGTAGTAAAATATAACTTTACAGCAAGCTGATCACTAATCAAAACTGGGAAATACTGGATAACCGTTTCATTCTTGTATGGGACTACTGAAAAGTCTGCGTTCACAACTTCGACAGGGATCTAACCCAGAATGTATGATCTTCGAGTAAGGGATTAACCTTTAGACCATTGCACTGATATCCAACAATTTACATTTCTAACTTTCGTCAGTTCGCGATATTGTGCAGCTACCGGCTATTGTCTTCGATAGATGACTGACACAGCCCTCAGACTACTGAAATCTACCAGTTACGGCCTCATAATAACTCAAGGAATCCCCTCTCCAAACAACTTATTGTTAAATACGTGATATTTAATGCTATATGGGGACTGTAAAAAGTTAGAAGTGTTAACAAATGAAGTTTATAGGTTTGACTCTTGCTATTAAACATGAAGCCCCTGGATTTGATCCCTATTAAAGTCATGAGTATGAACTTCAGAGGAGTTCCATACTAAGATGAAATAGCTGCCAACGGCTTCCTAGTTTTCACTGGCCGTCTGAATCAAAACAGTTAGTGATATCAACAACATTCTTCAATAATGCCGAAGAATTACCATACTGAGAATTATAAGATCAATAAACTAAAACTATATAACATAGAGTCTTTTTTGTGACGAATCACTCACTGTTTGTCTATTATGCAAATGACCAGTTCTCTCTCTTTCACCTGTTACCCCCAATGGAGCATAGTCCGCCCACCAGTTTTCTCCAGCCAACTCTGTCCTGGGCTTCCTTTTCAAATACTGTACAATTTTTGTTCATTATTTTCATATCTTTCTCTATTTCTCGGCGTAGTGTATTCCTTGGCCTTCCTCTTTTCATTTTACCTTGAGGGTTCCAGGTGAGGGCTTGTCTTGTGACGCAATTAGGTGCTTTTCGTAATGTGTGTCCTATCCACTTCCACCGCTTCTTCCTGATTTCCTCCTCCACTGGAATCTCGTTTGTTCTCTCCCACAGTACGTTGTTGCTGATGGTGTCTGGCCAACGAATCCGAAGTATTTTGTGTAGACAACTGTTAATAAACACTTGTATCTTCTGGATGATGGCTTTGGTAGTTCTGCAAGTTTCCGCTCCATATAGTAGAACTGTCTTGACATTTGTATTGAAAATCCTGATTTTGGTTTTGGTTGAAAGTTGTTTGGAGTTCCAGATATTTTTCAACTGTAGAAACGCAGCCCTTGTTTTGCCAATCCGCGCCCTCACATCTGAATCGGATCCACCTTGGTCGTCGATGATGCTGCCCAGATATGTAAAGGTGTTAACGTCCTCCAAGGCATCTCCATCAAGAGTGATTTGTTTGGTGCATGTTGTGTTGCATCGGAGAATTTCGCTTTTTCCTTTATGTATGCTGAGGCCTGCTGCTGCAGAGACTGCTGCTACACTGGTCGTCTTCTTTTGAATGATCAGTTGTCTGTAGGCAAATTTTGACTATGTAAATGGGGAGTGAATTTTTTTGTTGTTTAACATCGATCTCATCGACGATATTCTTGTCAAAATTCAATGCAGAATGTTACGGAATCATGACAGTCAACAGTTTTTGTTGCACGGCTAGGATTATAAAACTACTATTATCAATAAATAATGATCGTAAGATGAGAAATTTCGCTTCACAAGGCAATAATGATATGATTTTATCTAGTTAGAAAATTACTTAAAATCTTATAAATAATAAGTTTTTTTTGACTGAAAGCATCCGTAATTAGTTACAGTAGCATACTTGAATTTACATTTGTTTAAAAGTCCACTTTCGAGGTTTGAATGAATCTAGATACCTTACTGATGATAAGCTTCGCTTTAAATTAATAACATAACTAGCAGTAGTATTTAAATCAATTTGCTGACTGGCACAAGTTTCTTTGACCCATTCGCCTGTAAGTCATATATTTTTGGTAAGATATTCTAAAGTTAAGTCGTTCCAGATCGAAGCTGCTACCTTGACGTGGTGGTCGGGTTTGCCTATCGTCATGACCCAACCGATCTATATCGGCTGAAACTTATGTACCTGAAGGTTCTACCATTCCAGGCAGATCCATTGCAAAACGATCAGACTAAAAGCAGCTACTCAAGGTCTGAGAGCGAAGTCGTACTGCTGACTGCAGAGGGTTGTGACAGCAGTAAGGTGTTTCCCTCAGACAACCAGCATCTGCAGCGATGCTGCCTTCTCACAAGGAACGAAGGGTTAGAAAAGGTCGGCCCTAAAAATGTCACACCCCACACTACCTCACGGATTTCCGTCTCCTTGGGTAAGGGTGCCCACTAATGGCCTTTAAGAACGGAGCTAATCCTCAAAATAGCTTTCATAAAAAGGCCAGCCTCAAGCAGTTGTCCCTTGGGTTCTGCGGTCACGCTCTCAGGTCTCTAAAACCAACACTAATCTATCTTCTGTTTCTGGTCCCTCAAGAAACAACCTTCCACGGTGTGGGTAGCCGGTAAGTGACAACCGCCCTCATACCCGTAACAGCACACGAGACCAAATTGGTCAAACTCAAAAGTTAGGTCGTTGGGAAAAGTTTTAAGCTTTTAAAACTAGTTACTTTTATGTAAAGTATAGTTTTTTTGGGATTTTCCTTTTTCTTCGCCCAAATGATCAGGTTAAACCGGTCATTCAATTAAGCATTGAAGCATGTGAACGCTGGGAAAAATCAATCAATCTACTAACTCGAACCTTATGGCCACGTTATAAACCACATCCATGGAATGGTCCATTACCGAATATGGCTTATTTAATTCAGTTTAAAAATCGATTAAATGAAGTAAGCTGTTGTAGAAAACCAAATTACTTTCAATCATTTTTTTAAATGATTGGCAAATTTAAAGATTGATCATGTCCATGTTTCTTTTTATTAACTTTATCGTGGCTAAATTTTTAATGTCCATAAAAGCACAAATAAAAATGACTTTTGTAATCTACTTATCGTATGAATGATACGTGGCGATGCTCTTAGCACATTCATTCTGATTTTCAAGGTCACATCCAAGTCTGTTTCAAACCTTCGTAGCTAAACATCCAGTTCCTTTTTATTCTCAGTCATAGAATAACTTGATTCGATGTGGTAAAACAAAGGAGACAGTTATTGTTGACCTTGATTCAATAGGTCGAGTTACCTCTTATTGCTTCTAAAACTATTACATAACATAGGGTCTTGATGATTTGTTTTGATTACTTCGCTAGATGATGTAGCGTCTTTCTATTCAATACTTGAAGTCACTGACAAGTGGACTGAGTCATGTCGGTAGTTGTCGACTACCTGGTTGGTGCCCGCGAGATAATAATAATCGATGGTTAGAGACCTTGAATGACATGGCTCAAAATCGTTCGCAATGGCGCCGGTGCATTTATTCTTTGTGTTCTCTCAAATCGTAATCTTCTGGATTCTTCAACACCTCTAGTTTTGACTTTCTAAACTTTTCTCATTTAATCATACTTCTTGAATAATATCTTCAAATCTTAATCCTCTCCATCAACAGTAATTCTTCTACTATCTCTACTACTATGGGATTTGAAATGACAATCACGTCTCTGTGCTAATGTGGTATGGCAACATGAACTGATGTACTTTTACGTACAGAGTTCTACGTTGCATCTGACTGACTGACTGAAAACTTTAACTATATTGAAATAAAATCATTCCATTGATACTTGAAACCTTTTGATAATCTTGACCATATCATGCAACATCACTTCAATTTCATTGCTGTCCACTACTTAAATAAGTTTGACTATCTTTGATGATTTTTTCCGAATCCTACATCGCATTGTAGGCTACTACAACATGGCACAGCTCCAGAATCGATATCTTTGGAAAGAAAATTTTCTTCACTGTAATATCCTCCTTATTTTATATGAAATGAATTCAATTTGTCAGTCAGTCAGTCAGATGCAACGTAGAACTTCGTACGTAAGTACATCAGTTCATGTTGCCATACCACATCAGCACAGAGATGTAATTGTCAATTCAAATCCAATAGTAGGAGAGGTAGTAAAGGTATTAGAAGTAATCGGAGAGGTTAGGATGAGAAGATGTTATTCAAAACGTTCGATTCAGTGAGAAAAGTATAGAAAGTCAAAACTAGAGGTGTTGAAGAATCCAGAAGATTAGGATTTGAGAGAACACAAAGAATAAATGTTCCGGCGCCACTGCGAACGATTTTGAGCCATGTCATTCAAGGTCTCTAACCATTGATTATTATCATCTCGCGGACCCCAACCAGGTAGTCGACAATTACCGACATGGCTAAGTCCACTCGTCAATGACTTCATGGATTTCTGCCATGTTTTGGTCTGGTCGCCCCTAACTTTCTTCCAACCTATTCCTACACTACAAAACAAAGCTCGACGAGGCAGTCGGTGGTTGGGCATACGCAACACATGTCCCAACCACCTCAACTGATGAAGTGTCACTACTGCGTCTATTGATCTGCCATTCAATTCAACTCGAGTCGAACATTGTTGGACAATGAAGAATAGCGTTTCGATTTGTAATTAAACACTTCAAAAACATTCATCGAAATGATCACTGTGTGATTGATCCTCAATTCAATCAAACTAAAATTACCGGAGTTCCCTTCAAGCAGCCGCTATAGCTGCTTATTTTGTACAAAACTAACAATCAAAGATCAGTAGGTACCCCCTTCATGTGATCGCCAAGTGCGTATATAAGTTTACATGTATCTATTTAAAAAAAGTTTAATCAGTCGAATAGAAAGACAGTTCTACGTTCAATTCCAAGAACAAAATCCTAAAAAGTTTCACGTCAGTGGGATTAAAGGCTTACAACAGTGTTCTTTTAAAATATCTCTTTGACACAGGATATCGGGTTGATACACTGAAATCTTCCAGGATAATTAACTGATAGTCAAACTCTATTCTTCTCAAATTTACCGAATCCATAGCTGTCCAATATCTCAATGTTGATCTATGCATCCTAGAGGAAACAGTTGAAAATCTTTCTTTCTTACCATGATGACTTTATCGTTAATTCATTACAATATCTTTACAAATCTTTCCATTATTTTGATGACATGATTGCTTTCAAATTCACAACTGTGTGGTGGAGTTTCATTCTCTGAGCTGAATGTTTTGGTTATGGAGCTTTCATTGTTTATTCTGAACAACACCATCAGCATAAACTTCAGATAGGAGTGAAGAATTTGAATTTCTCCATGTCTGACCGGTAGCCTGTTCTATTCTGTGCTGATGATGTTGTTCAGAAGAACAATGAAAGCTCCCTAACCAAAACGTTCAACTCAGAGTACAAAGCTTCAACACAATCATCCACCTGAGCTACTGACTGATTTCAAGTTGTATCATATAATATATTCATTTACAACCCTCTTTAGATCTGTTCAATCTCATTACTCTGCCTCGAAGAGCTATGTTTCGTGGTGTAGGGGTGGATTGGCAGACAGCTAGATGCGGCCAAACCAAAACATGGCACAAATCCATGAAGTCACTGACAACTGGACTGAGCCATGTGGGTAGATGTAGACTACCTGGTTGGGGTCTGCGGGATGATAATAGTCGGTGGTTCAAGACCTTGACTGACATGGCTCAAAACCGTTTACAATGGCGCAGGCGCATGCATTCTTTATGTTCTCTCAAATTCTAATCTTCAGAATTCCTCATCACCTCTATCTCTCTCTCTCTAAATTTTTTTCACTGAATTAAACCTCTTGAACAATTTCTTCGAACCCTTATCTTCTTCATTGCCGCTAATACTTCTACTACCTCTACTACCATGGGATTTGAATCGACAGTTGCGTCTCTGTGCCTATGCAGTATAGCAACTTGAACTGATGTACGTACGTACGAAGTTCTAAGTTGTAACACACTGACTGACTGACTGACTGACTAACTAACTAACTCCACGATGATGATACATGTCCATCTTTTATGTCATGAGGTTTATAAATGTTATGATTATTTTGATGTTACAGTCGATTATAGATTGTACACAACTGATCAGAATCTATGACAATGAAATGAATTTGTCTTATTCCGTTCTTTTCTACTCAAACTTTAGATTCTTACTTTAAGAAGTTTATATGAACAATTATTTTATTTTACAACACCGAATGAACATAACCAATTTAAAATGGATTCTGGATTATATACTCTCATGTTTAAAACATTACAATTTAATAATATCAAACAAGATACTACATCACCAATTATTAAACTATTCACTGATCCACTAGCCTATAGTCCATATACAGTTGAACAATGGCAATCCGCCATACATTTAATCGATGCACGTCTACGACCAATCGAAGAATGTGCAGCGACTAGATTTCTAATTAGAATAAGAAGTTTATCAAATAAAGTTGATTGTAAGTTTGTGTTTTTTTTTGTTAATTTACGACATTATTACTACTGTTATTATTGTTAATGGTAGTGTAGTGAATGAGAACAGGTGGGACAACCGAATTGTATTTAGCGAAAATTAGAGTTACTCAGTAAAATCGGAAAACCATATCGTAAATCGCTCATTTGCAAAAGACCACTTCACCCTATGGAACTGGACTGTTCCTGTTGCCAAACATCACTCCATTGTCACTATTCATGCGTTTGATAAAAATTCCATTGTTTTCTAACTCTTCCTTTCTTGATCTTCCCCCCATATTATGCTACCAGACTTTACGTTGACACTCACATCATATACTACTTATAAGTAGTTCGCACCACAGCACCACAGTAGTATTAAACATTATTACATATCATGCGAAAAAGCAACCTTTCGAATATTTTCTCTACCAGGATGTAATATCATTTGAAAGGATAATTTGGTTGTAATGAACATAAAAATGGAAGCTAAATGTGATGATGACACAATCTACTAGCCAATAGAGGACACCTTGTAGTGTGTCGATTTAATGCGTGTTCTTAAGCTCGGTAATTAACTCGTTCAGACAATCGTTACTAAATAGCGTCTGACGGTTTATAAATCAGAAGATGAATTCGAAGTATTGTGAATACGTTTATTTGGGACACACCACAAAGCGAAGCGGAGAAGCAGTGAATAAAACGAATGAAGTGACGTGAATTGGAGAAGGCTGTTGAGCCAACTCAAAGAGATAGAGCATGACTAAGAATATATAGTCAGACAAAAATAAGACGGACTTATGACAAGCGAAATAGGCATGCACACACATGAATAAAAGCGACGAATGATTGACAAGATCAAAAGCAAGCGATGCAAATCATGTGAGTTCATGAAGATATTAAGATATAAACATTAAAGCGAAAAAGATGAGTAAGCGCGTAGGCGTAAACAATGCTCAGTCGTACAAGCGCATACAAACCAGATAATAAAAAATACCAATGGTACATATGAGTTGTTGCTATACAAATACCGTGGTTACATAAATTAATCGAAAGGCGTAATCAAATTAAATATGAGCGAACTCATAAAACATCATAAAACATACAAGTGCAAAACAAGAGTATATTTGATCTTCTCCATTCACATATCTTCTATTCCTTAAAACAGCCGTAAATTCAGGGCGGCAATCTGCTACAAATCCACTGCATACTACTTACAAGCTTAATTTTAAGTAGTACATACCACACTACTAGTCGAGCAATAGATAATGCTAATACTAAACTGGATACATTAGATTTAGACTAGATTATGTGACACACAAAGTACACAACTTCCAAGTGAACGGTTGGGAAACATAACCGATCAGACAGTAGTTTATTCAACCCAATACAGATAGTCATCACATTGGAAATCGTGGTGGGAAATCAACTTTTTACAGACACTACTAAACTATGTGAGCTTACAGAGAGGAGGCTGTTTGTAGCCATTCACGAGACAAATGTTAACTAAATCACTCAATTTATTAACACATTGAATTGAGTCAAAAAGATAGGTCTTAGTGAAAATCAAAGAAAGCTTACTTTTATACAAGACAACAATTAAGTGATAGAGGGAGGACCGGGTCAAAAATAGTTTTGTCGTTAGGTGCGTAAGATATCACGTCGGGCTCACCATTTGTAGTGTGTCGATTAACTGCGTGTTCTTAATGTTCTTGATTAGCTCGCCCAGTCAATCGTTACTAAATAGCGCCTAATCGTTTATAAATCAGAAGGTGAACTCTTAGTGTTGAATAAGTTTATTTGGGACACAAAGCGAAGCGGAGAAGCAGTACATAAAACGAACGAAGCGACCTGAATTGGAGAAGGCCAGTGAGCCAACTCCAAGATATATAGCGTGACTAAGAATATATAGTCAGACAAATATAAGACAGACATGTGACAAGCGAAATAGGCATGCACCCACATGAATAAAAGCGACGAATTGATGACAAGGTAAAAAGACAAGTGGGACAAGGCAATTGAGCTCATACAAACCAGACAATAATAAGAACAAATGATACATATAAATTGTTGCAATACAAATGGCTTGGTTGGTTAAATAAATTAATCGAAAGGGCTTAACCATATTAGATGTAAGCGAACTGGAATAAATGTGGAGGCACTACAGTTTGACTGACATTATTGCAGCAAAATTATGCCGTATGAGTAAACCAATCAGAATCATGACATAACACTGTATTAAAATCTAGGCACTAGAGAGTTTGCATGTTGTGCTTAACTAAGTTCAGTTTGGTAATATTTCAATCCTAAAATGCTTGAAATTGACAATATACAGCCAAACAGTGAATACGATGTGCTTGTTAACTTAGGTCATGGCAAATATCTATCCGTGATGTAGATTTTGTTAAAGTACCTTGGTGTGATTCAGTGGATAGTCACTGGTGTATATGCAGATAGGTAGCGTTTTTATCCCCATTCTAACTCCTGATTCTAAACATCAACCCCAAGGTTTTTTAATTTTGAGAACGAACTCGTGACAAAGCATCATTGTATTATAGCTGATGCTAGTTCGTGATGAATACCCCGATCCTAACATATAACCTAACAAAGAACTCTTGGTTAGCTTTCATCATCTAACCCTTACGATCTTCTATTATTATGGTTGAATTCAGTTGATGACGAAAACACCGTACCGCTGTAAACCCATTGACAAATATCACTTGACAAATATAAAACGTCAGGCACAATTAGGTAAAGCACCAAAATCCTTGAATCAGCTCTACACTCTTCTTGGTCCACAACTCGATAGATTCTTTGGACTCTGCCTCAGTCTAGAAGCCTATTGCCAGCCTGGACAAAATTCGTTATATTTAATGTGAGCATACTTGATTACATCTGTTACATGTCAGACCATATCACACTATAGAGTGAAAAAATAAAATTCATACATGAGCAAGCCAAAAGTGTCTGAATAGAAGAGTGCGCCAATCAAAAATTGACAGAAGATTAGAAATAGTTTTTCATACAAAACTATTGAAGAGCTTATGACAAAAGGAATATAAATATGTAATAATCTAGTTATTGTATAAATGTGCAGTGAGAACGTATACATTGTTCGTTCATAGGTTATTCCTGGAAGTGTATAACTAATTACTGGACAACTAGACAGAGCTTCCTAGTTAACTGATAAGTCGCTTGAGGTCTTAAGTATAGAGTAACCTCTACCCATTTTATTCAACCATCAGTTTATATTTTAAAATATATATTACTTATATTCTGTTAGTAAGCAAACTGATTATAGGAAAATAATTTATACCACTGATTTAATCTTAGCATGGTATATTTTCTTTGTTTCCTTGAAAAAAAGAAGACATCACAGCAGAAATTGTTGATTGGTTCCCTGCATTAGTCTCACTTTGACATTATCATCATGCTTAAGTTTTATAACGGTACCGAAAAGTTCAGTTCTACGATCATACTATTTGAATGTCTGACAGCTGTCATGAGCAGAACAGTCCCAGAACCACCTAAATAATAACCTAACTCGAAGCCCAAATCCATTCTAAATAATCGATAAGATGAACATTGTATAAACTTTATTTCAAAAGGATTCAGGCAGTTCGATACAGTTTATTTACTTTAACAACGCTACTTGTAGTGGTTATTTATGAATTCGGTCTACCTGATCAAACCAATTCACACTTACTTACTTACTTACTTACGCCTGTTACCCCCAATAGAGGAGCATAGGCCGCCCACCAGTTTTATCCAACCAACTCTGTCCTGGGCTTCTCTCTCCAGTTCTGTCCAATGTTTGTTCATTCCTCTCATATCTTTCTCTATTTCTCGGCGTGTAATGTGTTCTTTGGCCTTCCTCTTATCCTTTTGCCTTGAGGATTCCATGTGACGGATTTTCTCGTGACGCAGTTAGTTGCTTTTCGTAGTGTGTGTCCTATCCACCAACTCCACCACTTCTTCCTGATTTCTTTCTCCACTGGAATCTGGTTTGTTCTATCCCACAGTTCGTTGTTGCTGATGGTGTCTGGCCAACGAATACGAAGTATTTTGCGTAGACAGCTGTTCATAAACACTTGTATCTTCTGGATGATGCCTTTCGTAGTTCTCCATCTTTCCGCTCCATACAGTAGAACTGTATTGACATTTGTATTTAAAATCCTGATTTTGTTTTTGGTTGAAAGTTGTTTGGAGTTCCAGATATTTTTCAACTGTAGAAATACAGCCTTTTTACTTTTCCAATCTGCGTCCTCACATCTGCATCGGATCCACCTTGATTGTCGGCGATGCTGCCAAGATATGTCAAGGTGTTAACGTCCTCCAAGGCATCTCCATCAAGTGTGATTTGGTTGGTGCCTGTTGTGTTGCATCGCAGAATCGTGCGTTTCCTTTATGTATGTTGAGACCTACTGCTGCTATACTTATCATCTTCTCTTGCATTTATTGTTGCGTATGCGACAGAGGAGCCAGATCATCTGCGAAGTCCAAATCGTCCAGCTGTGTCCTAGCTGTCCACTGAATACCGTGCTTCCCTCCAGATGTTGACGTCTTCATAATCCAGTCGATCACTAGGAGAAAGAGAAAGGGTGAGAGTAAGCAACCTTGCCTGACACCGGTCTTCACCTCAAAAGAGTCTGTCAGCTGAACACCGTGTACGATTTTGCAGTTGAATCCATCATAAGAATTCCGTATGATGTCAACTATCTCCTTAGACACACCGTAGTGTCGAAGAAGCCTCCACAGTGTTTTCTTATCCACGCTATCGAATGCTTTCTTGTAGTCGATGAAGTTGATGTAGAGTGGTGAGTTCCATTCAATTGATTGTTCCACAATTATCCGTAATGTTGCAATTTGGTCAGTACACGATCGATCCTTACGAAATCCGGCCTGTTGATCTCGAAGTTGGGCGTCTACGAAGTCCTTCATTCTGTTTAACAATACTCTGTTGAAGACTTTGCCTGGTATTGAAAGAAGAGTGATGCCTCTGTAGTTC